TTGGCTTTTTGGCTATTTTAATAGGCTATTTTAGTTTTGTGTTTGGGAAGATGAGATGAATTTTTAGTTGAGTTGTTGTATTGGAAAGTGTGTTGAAATGATGTTTAAATTTAAAATGACAGATTTATCCCTAACTTTTTATTTTTAAAATTGATATAAAGGGGCAAAATGATAATTTTGCCCTTGCTGTAACACTGTCTGGCTGTGACAGTGTAGGCTGTGCCTACACTGTCCGAGCAGCAGCCTTTTTTTTTTTTTTTTTGAAAATCAGTAAAAAGGTGCTACAATGCTGGCTTGGGGGCTAATTTTCCAAAAGAGGCTATAATAGCCTCAACCTTTGATTGCCAAACACCCCCTATGTGTCAAGTGACAAATAGTGCAGAGCAATATTCCGAGACACCTAAATAATTATTCTCTTATGCCTCAAGAAGGTTATGATAGGTTCAGGAGATATAATCTATAATTTTGTATTAGGATATGATAAAATAGTAAGAGACATGACAATAAAAAATTGATCGATAACAATAACACGTGGTATCCTAAAACACCTTATAATTGTTGCCATCGCTTATCTCTTAGCCTAAACTGTTATTGTCTTTTGACTTGCATAATTGGGACTTTACAAAGTCCAAAGATGATGGCAAGTGGGTGGTGGTGGTGGTGAGAGACGTTTGGTGGTGATTCCTGTTTGAATTAGTTGATATACACAACTATTTGAATGGTCCAATGGAGTGGTTGGCCACTAAAATACATAATATTAATTAAAAAATAAAAGGAAAAAGATAAATGAAAACTTAATAAAGTAGTTTATTATGTCGTATTTGGTAAAAATAGCACAATGCTCTTAAATTGTGTATAGATGGCTTCTATATTTCACGGACAGTTTCACTGGTTTAGGGCATGGGTATTTGGGAGGGAGGGAAGGGTAGGGCATTAGGGTTATTCGAGAGATTTCACTGATTTCAAAAAAAAAATAGAAATTATAGTTAAAAGGTTTAGTGAAATACATTTGAATATAATTTTTTTGGTGTATACGATATTACCAAAGTGAATTCTAAGCATGTACTACCAAGACTACATGGATGTGCCCAAGGTAGTATGCTCAATCAGAAAACGCTAATGCTGGTATGGTATCATTTATAAATTAATTTTTATGGTTATTATTTTTGAGATTAATAGTTTAAAAAATTATAAACAAATGTAAATTTATTTAATGTAACTTTTGATTATGATAATTTGTATTAAAAAAAAAAAACTGAACCCATTTTGTTAAATAAACTCTCACAATTTTTTATTATTTTTATTTTTTATTTTATTTTTTTGTGCACGCATTCCCTTAAAAGTTTTTTTTTTACACCAAGTGATGAGTCTCTTTTGTCTATATGTATATGTACGGGGAAGAAATAATTCTCCTCGTATAATCCTGTTGACCAAGTCCGCGCTCCTCCGTACGACGTCGCTTTGTCACCTGAAAACACAAACGTGAGCTAGCCGGCGGGTGTGTGCCGGAAACCTCTCCGATGCCTAAGTCAGAAAACTTGACAAATAGACAAAGCTCTAAGTTCTCAGAAAGATTGTGTTCAATTACCTCCTCCAAGGTGGTTGCTTGTGAGCTTTTATAAGTTTCATATGGCACAATCCTAGTAGGAATTGTATTTCTCCATGCAGAGTCCTCCTAGGATTCATTCTCCCAAGGATAATGCTTATCCTTTTACACCCTCCCCCACTGCTTAAACCAAGTGGGATGGTTTCCTTTATGGCTGAACTTCCATGTGACCGAAGTAAGATTGGCAATACCGAGCCACAGAAGGCCGAACTATCCTTAGCTCGGTCTTCTCCTCTAACTCATTACTTCGGCTGCCTTGTTCAACCTTGATGTGCTTAGGTCAACCTTCCCGGTAACAAGTTTTGACCGACCTAACCATGGTACGTGACGACCGGACTAACTCTGAGACCGGCATAACTCCGAGTTGTCTCTGGACCGGAGTAGCTTTACTCCTCCTTGGGCCGGAGTAACTATCTCTTCTTGAGCCGGAGTAAACTCACCTCCATGGGCCGAAGTATTTTTGTTTCCCTAAGGCCGGAGTAACCTTGCCCGCTGCGTTTTGGGCCTCAAAACCCAACTCGAAGCTCGGCCCAATTTTTCCCAAAAATCACCCTCTCAATTGCCCCTTAATCCCATCTGTGCAACATGATTGGGATTACCAGCCTTCTGGCCGAGCTAGAGTTTGTTACGCCTCTTCAGCCGAGCTAAAAACCCCTTTAGCCTTTCCAGCCGAGCTAAAAAACCCTTTAGCCTTTCCAGCCGAGCTAAGTTTACCTCGGGTATCACTATGTCTGGTCAAAACGTCTCTTCAATCATAGCGACTGTAACGCTTCCAATTCCAGTGACACGTGGCAAGTTCTGATAAGCTGTGGCCAACTGTCACGCCGTCCTTCAGAAATTTTGTACTGTTCCCGCTTCTTTTTGCCGCCTTTTTCTCTCTCCCTTTTACACAAAACAGCCCTTTCGATTCTAGAATCATTTACTCTATTGCTTTCATCTTCTTTCTGTATCTCTACTTCTTCCATACTCAAGCTTGTGTTGAGCTTGTGCTCTTTTCTTGCTGCCACTGTTTCCGACTCCAGTCTTCCTTCTCTCTTCTCTGGTAAGGAAATCTATCCATCTTGCGATTTTTTGTTCGTTTTACCATTCGTTTCTGTTTTGTATGCTTTTTGCAATCATTTTCCTCCATTTATCTGTTCTGCTTTTGTACTTTCTATGAAGAAACCAGTAGAACTTGTATGCGTATGAACTGTTATGTAGAAAAACAAGCCTTAGATCCAAAATCATATTGCGACCGAACTAGGATTCTGTTTGCCCCTACAGGTAGATCTTCTGTAGGCAAGAACCGAACTAGAACTTTAATGCTTCAATGGGTTACCAGAGCCTGACTCACTTTAGCCGAAATAAGACCACCAAATTTTGAATATAAGGAACTAGGAACTTCGGCTATCAACCGAGCTAAGCTTTTGGGGCCAAGCCGGTCTTCTTGGTTCCTAAACCGAAGTAACTTTATTCATTCCACAACTGTTTTAGGTCTTGGGGCTAGACCAGTTTTCTTTAGTTCTTTAGGCCGAACTCAGAGAGCTGCCCCTAGACAAAAAACCGGTCTAGTCTGCTCACGACCGAGCTAACAAACCTTTTGATAAACCGAGGTAGAACCAGCCCACTAAGCCGAAGTAGGATTTTTATATCTTGCTTATAATTTGTAGCGCGGTCCAATCGATCTGTGCTTAACCCCTTTGTTTTCTACCTTGCAGACTTAGGTTGCCCAGATACTCCTGCGTGTGCTCAACCGAGCTACTGAGCCAAATTTTTGTACCGAAATAACAAGTTGTGCCGGAAAGAGTTTCTACACTCGATCTTTGTTCCTTGAGGCACTTAATTTGTACCCTCTTTTTGGAAGGGATGGTTCGGTTGATGATTCTAAGCGCGAAATCGCTGCTTTCTTTGCGCATGTCACGCATGAGACTGGACGTAAGATTTTAACCTCCCTCTTGTTGTTTTGCATGCATAATTTCATAAGTTGATTAGTAAATTTATTTGCATAAAATTTAGGCCTATTTTGACAATTGGATTAAATGTCAACATTTTTACTATTTTAAATCACATCATCTCTAATTTTTTTGCACTTTTTTTTTAAAAAAAAAAATTTAATAAAAAAGTCAAAAACTGATTTTTAATCTACTTTCCAAAACAAATCTCATGGAATGAAACACAGGAATGAGAGAAGAGGTAGGTGTCACATGCTACATGTGCGTCCTATCCTTGTATCAATTGTATGTGAATAGATTCTTTGCAAGTAGCTAACATGGTTAGGGGTGAACATGGTCCGAATTGGACTGGATTGGAGTAAAATCAGGACCAATCCGTTATCTACGGATCCTGAAAAATTGAAACCAATTCAATCTGTTTAAATTGTAGAACCAATCCGAACCAATCCATTTAAATACGGATTTGATAGGTTTAGGACCACGAATTTATATAATTAAATAACAAAAATATATATATAACACTTTATTTTCATAAAAATATAAATATAGCACCATATTAGTTTCACAATAGCAACATGTCTTTTCATAATAGCGATAAACTGTTCTAGAATTTAAACAACCATAAAGAAACTAGCTCCACTATAAGTATTTAGACCATTACAAATTAACACTAAAAACTAGCAAACAAAAGTAATAAAAGAAAATACTATGCAAGTTTAGGTTTGGATTTAAGTTTTATATGAAATAAGAGAAGATACTATGCAGGAGGGTGTATAATAAAAATATAGACTATTTGTATACGGTCTGTATCGGTTCTAATCCGGAACCGTGTGATTCAATCCAGAACCAATCCGTGAACAACGGATTTTTAATTTTTCAATTTGGAACCGAACCACGGATTCAAAAAACTAATCCAAACCTACTGGATTGGACTAAATTGGATCGGATTACGGATTTCACGGATTCCTTACTCAGCACTAAACATAGTTGTAATTAGTAGACAAATATAAAAATTGTTTAGTACAATCCAAACCATGGCAACAAAATTAAAGGCCCCATTTTAGTACAATATTTCAATTAAGATAATTTTCAATTAATGATCTAACTGCAAAAACTCTACACTATATAATAGACTAGACGATTTGAAAAGTAAAAAAAATATTTAAAAAAAAAACGTTCATTAAAAGAAAAACTAAAAAAGTTGATTTTTTTTAATGAACTTTCTTTTGGATTTTGTTTTTAAAAACTTCTAAGATCCTTGTAGACTACTAGATAGACCTTAAAAAAAAGATCTAATACAAATTTAAATAAATTTCACTACAAACAAAAAATTCAAAAAGAAAAGATATGATTTTTTTAGAAGTGGCCAAACATAAGCAATAATGCTAGCTATCATGAAAACAATGTCATGAAAAGTTTTCATGAAGATTCTCTACCCTTGGATTAGATTATAGTGTTTGTAGTGCTTTATTGTATGTTATGCATTCACCCTTAGATTAGTTTCATGAAGTTTTTCATGATATTTATTTCATGATACGTAGCATTATAAGTGCAAGGACCATTGCATACATATATAGTTGATAAATTTTGTGTGCGGTTGTGCAGATTTTTGCTACATAGAAGAGATAGATGGTGCCTCAAAGGACTACTGTGATGAGAATAACACACAGTATCCCTGTGTAGCCGGGAAGGGTTACTATGGAAGAGGCCCACTTCAACTATCATGGAACTACAATTATGGTCCTGCCGGAATGAGCATTGGCTTTGATGGACTCAACAATCCAGAAATTGTTGCGACAGATGCAGCTGTGTCGTTCAAGACCGCCTTGTGGTATTGGATGAACAAAGTTCACTCTATCATAGTTTCTGGCCAAGGGTTTGGTGAAACAATCCGAGCCATCAACGGTGCACTTGAATGCGATGGTGGAAACACAAATACAGTCAATGCTCGTGTTGAGTACTACCAAGAATACTGCAACCAACTTGGTGTTGCGCCTGGCGATAATCTTTATTGTTAAAAAATTATTATTTATTTTTTTTGTTAAAAATTTATGGGTACATGTTTTTAAAAGTAATAAAGAGTAGGAACCATCCAAGTTAGGGCTTTATTCAAGCATTAACTTATTTGGCATGTAATAGTACAACTAACACAATATTGAAGGGCTTTTGAGAACTTATTTGGATACTTGATCTAGGACGAAATAATTGGTATCAACTCAAATGTATTCTTTCATCAAAGGCTATATATGTCTGCTCTTTTTTTTTTTTTCCTTATTAAATTGAATAATACTTTGATGTTGTTCGATGGGGAAGAAATTTGTTTCTCTATTTACTTCATAAAATTTCATTACAAAAATATATAGCATGCTTTTTATAGGCAATACAATACAGTGTGAACACAAGTTTATATTGCAGTAGCAACCTAAGGTATTTATGGCCTGTTTGATTGGTCGGAGTAATAATGATAGGATTAATAATCTATTGGATTGATTGTTCAACTTAATTAGTAGAGTGGGATTATTATTACTTACCTCTATATGGTATTGAATATTCCATGATTTTGGTCTTGTTTGGAAGTTGGCTATTTTAGTAGGTTATTTTAATTTTTAGCTATTTTAGTAGACTAAAATTTTTGTATTTGGGAAGATGATTATATTTTTTTATAGTTGGATGTGGTGTTTGTGAGAGAAAAAATGAAATGATTATGGATTTGATGTGACATTTTGTCTTATTGGCTAAGCCCAATTGTAGCCTTTGCCAAACTATGAGATTAGAAGTTCTACGTATTACTAAGTCGGCCATTATTTATGCCTTCCAAACACAAAAATGTACATATAACTAACTTAACAATCTATCCTATGCTCCAATACTGAAATAAAATAGGCCCTTAGTGCGTGCGGATTTTCTATTTTGATGGTTGCAATGCGGCGACAAGAAGTTGATTGGCGAGAGACAATTGACATAAGATGAGTAAGATTTGAAGGTATATAGAGGTATAACAAAAGAGACAATTGATTTAGACATTTGTTGTAACACCAGTGAGTGTATTTTGAGGCTTCTGCCATGATGCAGGGCAAGAGACAAGGTAAGGGTGTAGAAGACGATAGTAGGAGAAGGCCGTTAAGAAAGATTGAAGTAATATTCAGAGTCCAAAACTTAATTTTTTTATGAAATAAATAAAGTGTTTGGAATAATTTTTTGAGTTGAATAGATGGTTTAAAAAAAATATAAATTTGATACATAAGATGTGACATTTTGACATTTTAAATTTTTTGACTTTTTTTGTGATCTTTCCGAAAAAAAAAAAAAAAAAAAAAAAATACAAAAAAAAAAAAACAAACAAAAAATCGATTGATATGTAAGATATGACATTTTGACTATTTTAATTTTTTGATTTTTTTTGTGATCTTTCCAAACGGGACATCAATTTCGTTTCTTACTTACAAAGAATAAATAAATATTTGTGAGCCTCCCTGAAGTTGTGTTTGGATTGTTAATCGGAGTAGGATTTGGAAAAGAAAATTTATAATCTAACACGATATTAATAATATTCATCTAGTGTTAAGATCAAACTCTTCTTTTAATTATGAAAAAATATGAGTTCTGTTCTAGTAGAGTCCATAGAATGGAGTTCCTTGCTTGTAACTCCAAAACAGAAAATTTCCTCCAGATGTCGGAGTGTTGATCCTCTGGTTTATTCAAGTAGTTAACACCATGAAGAGTAACCATCAACATGAATATTGAAAATGGTGAAAAATCTAAAAATTCTTGAGATATTGATTCGTGATTATATTTTAATTTAAAATAATAAACAACAATCATAATCAAACAAATAAGACTAATCGGCACAACTATTTAACGTGAAAAAAACTACAATATTTGGAACGTTTCCAATTGTAATAAAAAATTACGGGCCAAAGTCACAAATAATTCACTAAGAAAACAAAAAAGAATTACATTACTCTCAACTACCTAACGAGTTTATACCCAAATTGAACCAAACTTGATGTGCCTCTTCTACCACTGCCTTCACATTGGAATTGTCTTGCCCAACATTGAATTCACAAAGTTGATGTCGAATTTACGACGATGAACCACTCCAGAATCCACCAAAATTTCAGGTTCAAATTCTTTGGAATCTACTGAAGAACACCTCTCTCTTTTGTGAATGAAATAATAAGAACAACCTTTGATTTTAGACAATCTGTAGTTTGTTGATCAATTGATCACCTTCTATATACCAAGAAACACTACAACAAAACTGAGCTTCTGGACGGCTTAAACCCTAAACTCATATAAAACAGCCTCCAATAGAAAACACTTTGTCTTTTCTTTCTCTTTACGATTCTGGACGGCTTAAATCCTAAAACAGCGAATAACGCACTTTATAGAAAACAGAGCCACGAAGACCGCTCGAGCACACACTTCACTGCTCGAGCAGTGTGAGTAAAGGCGGTGTGAAACATATAGACCGATCGCTCGAGCACAACTTTCACAACTCGAGCGGTAAAACTTTCTTCCCAGGAGTTAAGCGCTCTGTAAAAGTATTGGATGATCATTTTTTCCATTCGAGCACACAAATGACTGCTCGAACGGTCAAACAACTTTGACCACACTTTTGCTTTTTGTTTCTTGCTTCGGGGCAACCTCACCGTGGCGCTACCTTGGACCAGACAAGGAGCGCTGTCTCCTGGATCCCCGCGAACTGATCATGCAGTTCGATCCCCATACATAGTCAGCGAAGTGGCAAACATAAAAGGATCAAGATTACAAACTTCTCTACATAAGTACAATTCGGGTTGGATTCACACATAAACACTCATAGTTTCATGGAAATAAAAAGGCAAATAAAATTACAATTAAAAAAAAAATTATCAAATAAATTACCAACTATAAAAACCTAACAAATGACTCTGCACATTCCTCTTCCTTTGGTACCAGGTAATCATATTGTGGTGAGAAATCATCAGTCCCCACTTTATTGATAAGTGGAGGAAAAATTACTTATAAGTGGAGAAGGGGAAAGTTCGGAGAATAATTGAAATAGGCCTGTAGTTGAGTGTGGAAAAAAAATTGTAAACTGATGAATTTTAAATTTTTGAGTACAAGTTTACTCTGTGCATAATTTTTAAAAATTATATTAGTGACTGTATTTTTTAATCAAACAAAGTGATTATTTTTTTTATTTACTTTAATTTATCATTTTAATTTTTTTATTAAATATATTTAATATTAGTCCCATTTTAAAAAGTATGGTTCATATCTTTCCAATGGTATCATTTTTTCAAAAATCGAAAATTTTAAATATATTTAATTTTTTTATATCTATTTGAATTATTAATTTATTTTTTTAATTGATTGTACTATTATTAATCTAACTTTAAAGATATTATTAATACATTTTGAACCGTTTTAATATTACAAAAATCAAATTATATATCAAATGTTATATACATTTTAATAAAAGAAAATAAAAGGCATAAATTTTAAATTTATTGTTTTAGGGAGAGGTGTGGTGTGTGCAGTGTGTTAGTAATGTGAAGTGTGACGTGGAATAATGATTCATTTTTTAATTTTGTTCCTCTAATTTCGCTCTTGATGATGTGGAAATAGAGAGGTTAAAAATGAGAGGGAAATGAGTGTAGGGTCACTTTACATGGAGGTGAACCACATTATTAAAAATAAAATTTGAGAAACAAAATTAAGAAATGTAGCACCACTTGTGTAATGTGTGTGTCATGAAAGTGAGAGTAAGTGATAAAATTGGATAAGTTTATCCTTTAATCAAGAAATGTGATCTCTTTCCAAATGTTTTTTCACATTCCACTGGGGCAACTCCAAATTTTCTTCCACTGATATATAAGAACTTTTTCCTTCCTCCACTAACTAGTGATATCAGCAATTATCTATTAGGTCTCTAGAATTGTTTTAAGTTTGAAATACCATTTATTTGGTTTTGTTCTTATCTTAGTGATATTTTATAATTTATGGGTTGGATTTTCTTTAGTTGGGATATTCAATAATGAGATAAACTTATTTTTGAAACGGACGTCTCAGATTTATGTTGGGGATGCGTATTAAAAGTAGTACCTTCTCAAATCTGGATCAAGTCTGAAGAAACAAATAGTTATGGAATTAAAAGTAGGAAAAAAACTTATTTCCATAAAAACTCAGAATTATGAATTAATTTGTGGATAAAATTTTGGCAAATTTAAATCTGTTGAAACAAGATATATTATTTTTGGAAAAGAACTTTTAGCAATAAAAATTGCTTTAAAAAGATTCCGTATATATCTTGCTCCGGAATGCTTTATTGTTAGAATAGGCAATCGAGCGATAAAAGATTTTTTTAGTTAACAAGAAAAATATTGTAGAAGGCCGCTGACTTCAATGGTATAATGAAATTGCTACATATACTTCTGCAGTTGAACATTTAAAAGGAACTAATAATTTTCTTGCAAATTTTTTAAGCAAAAATAACTAACTAGTTTTTTCTCTTTTCAACCATGAATAAGGGTAAATGGCCCGCTGAGTCCGACAAAGAATTGGTGACAATTGCCAAAAAAAAAACCCCTAAAACAAAAAAAGTTTGTGTTGTTTTTTCAGGTAGACAATATGGAATTTACACAAATTGAAAATATTGCAATGTGCAAGTTGTGGGGTTCCCTAGAATTTGCTATCAAGCATATGATAGTTTGGCAAAAGCTAAAAAGGCTTTCTATATAGCTCCATTGTTGCCTATTTTTCAGCAGCAGCAAACCAATCCAATCCCTATTGAATTTCAAAAATCTAAACCAGATGAATATGAAATTAAAGACTTTTTTAATCTTGGTATTCCTAGAAAAATTTATATTGTCTTACATGGTGTGTGGAAAGCCCACATTTCCGAAAACAAAAAAGGTTTTAGATTACAAACGTCTAGTTTATCATTTCAATTAGTGGAACAAACCATTAAAATAAATGAGTTACAAAAACTTTGTTTCCAACTCATTAAACAAATGACTTGAGATCAAGATTTTAAATTTGGAAAAAATAAATACTTTTCTTCAAATTTCTGAATTCATAAACCAAGAATATTCAAATCTCTCTTTTAAAACAATTAGAAGAATTTGTCTTTTTAAAAAATTAAGAACAATTCTTCCCTGTGAAATTTTTAGACTCATTAAAGATAAAGTAGAAGATCATTGTGAAAGAATTAAACAAATTCTTTCCAAATCAATTGATAATATTAATTTACAAGATGATATTCCAAAAACCACATTATTCTTAGATACCCAAGAATGGTTTTACAAGGATAATGATTGGAAGGTCTGTGAAGAAATTGACTATAGACTAACTAATCAAGTTATTCTTCAAAGTTCTCGCCCTATACAATCAAAAGATTTTCCAGAGATGATCAATGCAATGCTCTCAAAAGTAATAAAAATTACAAATGGAAAAATATTTCACTTTTTGGATTGTCAGCACCATTGGATGGCGTGAAAGGGAAAAATTCTATCAGCCATATTAAATTTGGTACTTGAAAAAGACTGAAATTAGCTCATGATGGACCATTAATAAATTCAAAGAAAGAGGTTGTTAATCCTTATGAACTAATTAATGTCTTTTGTCCTAAATATTATTGGGTAGAAAGCCTAATATTGTTGTCCCAAGTGGCACAAAGCATAAAAAGTTGCAGTGAATTGCCTTTCATGGTAACTGATGGAAGAAGACTGTTTGTTACTATGGAGCCAATTTCATATACAAGAACTGCTACGCAACAAAGTGAAGCAGAAGATTTTCTCAACAATCTAGCAAAAAGAAATTTGCTAGATCTTCCTCTAGAATTGGCAATGCAAGTTAATGAAGCGGAAGCTTTCAAAAATAAATAAATAAATAAAATAATGGAGTCTACTGCAAGATTCTCCATTATTCGAAAATTGTGTCTTCATGCACAATCTAGACAATATGATGGAAGCATAGTGGGCTCATGAAGTCATATTGCAAATATACCGGATCTACTGCATTCTTATCCAACACACGTGGTAGCATCTACAGCAACAATAAAAAGATAATATTAGCCAAATCTTACCCAAAACAATTTCTCTTTTTCAAAAAACGGGAGAGGGGGACTGCATAGCATAAGTATTTACTAGTCTTTGTATTTATTATATTGAAGACTTTTTTGTTTGTGAAAATTGGTGTAAGCCTACGACTAGACCTTTAAACTTTGGTATAAAGAAATTAATAAGCCTAAGTGTAGGCTTTTTGACTTCTAGAGTAATTGTTGAACTTCTGTTGGTTGTATCTACGAATGTATTCTATAAATTGGCATTAAAACCAACCTAATAGAGCATTGTAAATTCTCAAAAACTCTCATCTTTTGCTTACATTACTTCCGCAATTAGTTATTATATAGACCTATTTTGGGTTTGTCTCGATTATCCAAACTATTTATTTTGTAGAAATAATAAAATTTTAAATGTAGTATGTTAATTATTTTTCAAATAAATGTGATCCGATTGAGTGGTTCTTGATGTTTAATTAACTTGATTTTGGTGTGCATTATCTTTCAAAGAGTCTTACAAAATAAGCAGTTTAGATTAGTAACACGGACCCAAATAGACTTACAGTAGGTCGGACTGGACAGTACAATTGAGATTTTTTTTGAGACCATATATTCATGGAGAATTACAAATCAGTAGAGAAAATAAAAAATATTCATAAAAAATTAAAAAATTTATGATTTTAATTATTAATATTTATAATATTTATCACATTAATTAGCTTTTACTGACATAATTTTTTTATTATTTGTCATGTTATCATATTGATATGATGTATTAAATCAATAAAATTAAAAAAAATATTATTATTATTGATAAAATTCCTTAAATTTCTACTCCTATCGTTAAGATTGATAAAATTCCTTAAATTTCTACTCCTATCGTTAAGATTGATAAAATTCCTTAAATTTCTACTCCTATCGTTAAGATTGATAAAATTCCTTAAATTTCTACTCCTATCGTTAAGATTGATAAAATTCCTTAAATTTCTACTCCTATCGTTAAGATTGATAAAATTCCTTAAATTTCTACTCCTATCGTCAAGACGCATTACTGATGTCATATGTGGAACCTATGAAATAACTTTTCATACCAACATTCTTCTAGTGTTCGTTAGCCGCACACAAACTCGTGATTAAAAATCTTAATGAATGATTTATGTGGAATATTTTAGGTTGCGATTTAGGTGGGTTGAATCCGAACAATTCAAATTTAGTATGAATTTTTTATAATTTGAATAAGATATTTTTAAATTCAATACAAAATTTTAGAAATTCAAATTAAATTTGGCTGGACTTGAACAAAAATATTAAATAATTCAAGTAATCCGAAACTTGAATTATATATATATAAATATATAAAAATATTAAATATACATATAAATTATTAGTCATTATATGATATTAAAGTAATTTAGATTATTAAATCATATTTA